CCCCCCACCCTCTTTTCTCTCCGGGCAAAGGGAAAGACCATCCGTTCTCGCCATACCTATGGCTATGAACAACATTGCTCCAGACTATTTTCTCAAAATGACTTCTACTCTCAAGAAGTTCCCTCTTAGGCACTAGGTTGCTTTCTGCATTTGAGACAGAACAGGTCGTGGTATTGCCACTTCCTCTGGTTAGACAGCCAGACACAAACAAAAGCATCTGTACCACTCCCCTCACCTCCGCTGCATTTCCTATTCTTCCCCTTCCCTCCCGCCATCAGCCCAGCTGAATCCTGTACAGCTGGGAGCCCGAGCCCCCCCCCAGTGAGCTTAACCACCATCAGGCTGCTAACACTCAAATGAGTGAGTCAGTCTTCGGCAGATTTGAGAGTGGGAATGCCTGCTAGCTTCTGAGCAGGACCCAGAGACCAAACAGGAAACTCAGTGTGCTATGTCTTGTCCAGGCAAAGGAGGAAGAAAGATGTACACTAATACCAGGAAAGAGAGAACCAGCAAATGTATCCAGAATAAGTTTACTAGGGAAAATTGGCATTGCTCTCCAAGGCATTGCTCAACTCAAGCTGGTGAGTTGAAGACTCAGCTTTGCAGAACACACAGCGCCTCAAGATTTGAGGGTGGCCTCAACTAGTCTGAACAGCAGGCCTGCTTCTTCGTGAAGTTCCTGCTTCATGCCCCAGGATCAGCTGGGACAGAGCAATCACATTGGCCAATCTTAAGCAGATCCTTTAGGACAGGCAGTTGCAGATGTGTGGGGTAACATGCTCCTACCCTGACCACCTGCCCCGAGTATTGGTCTAAGTCATGCAGGGTTCAGCAACACATGAACGAGGTCCAAGTTCCTTTCTAGCCTGACCCTTCAGGCCTAGATATTCCTCAATGCTTCAGAGATGGCTCCATAAAACCCTCATTCATGGACCCCAAAGCAGCAAGTCTAAAAGGGAAAGTGTTACCATCTCACATCAGGGAGGACAAGGAAAGAGATGGACCACAGGCCTATCTTTTGGATTAAACAGTGTCTTTCACTGTCACTTTCAATAGGAAGGGGAAAAGCCTTTCAGCTGATAGCCATATCCTAGGAAACACTCTTTAAAGGGCTGAGTTATCAATAGCCCTGCCACCCAACAGGAAACAGACCCGCCCCCCCAAGAACTGTGGCCATTGCCACCTCGCTGAATGTTCATGCAGCTGAGACAAGGCCAAAGGGGAACAAGTTACAGGCAATTCGAGTGGCCCAGGGAGAACTAGAGACTAAGGTGGAAATTGCACAGCTGGTATGAAAGTCACAATCCTTCTGTGTAGATACAAAGGTCACCACTCCAAGTCAGAGATCCTGCAGATTTCATGGGGGCTAAGCTGCCTTAGAACAGCCTCAGAAATCGGCAACTCTATAGTGGCTCTAGTTTCCAGATTAAATGATTCATTTGGTGAAGGGATTTGGGACACCAGTGTTGGGGGAGGAGAGGGGGGGGGAGAATAGAGATTGTGTCAAATGAGTTCTGTGAAGTAAATGTGATCCATTAAGAATGCCCACTGCCCCAAAAGAACAGGTTCTCCTTCATGAGCTAGCTTCCTGAAAGGCAAGCACAGGTAGTCACAGAAGACAGCAACTAGGGTAAGGGAGAGACTTGCTAAAGTCACTCATTTCTTACGCCCACTCCACAGCTCAGACTGAGGCCAATACATGACCAACAGCAAAAGTTTGTTGAGCAAGAGAACAAGAACCTGAAGGCAAGAAGCCAAAGTGTGGCTCAGGGCACTGAGAGATCTACTTTGGGCATCAGTAATGCCGCAGATAGCTCTGTGCTCGTAGACAGGAGTTCACCGCAACGCGCCAGCCCGTAAACACTGCTTTATGCTTAAAGGAGATGGCAGCTATCCGCTCTGGTCTCCCTGCTGCTCACTGGAAAGCAAGGGGTGGTACTATGGAGTGATGCGGCTCTCCGCTCCCAGGGAAAAGAGCACAGCGCAAGGCGCAGGCAGAAGTTTAGTTTACAGGCAGCTAGCAGCATTCCATGTAAGTTGTGTGCAACAAGAGTCTCCACTGCCATCCAGGCGATTCACAAAGCACCCACAGACACTGGTTCTGCTGGTGTACACATAGCATGCCTCAGTGCACAATCCATGTGCGGAATACATTTTAAGATGGAATACTGGCATCTAGCACTACTGATTTCAGCCTTGGGGGAAACTGTTCTTTGCAGGCCAGCCTAGACATCAGTTGATGGATGAGGAAGGAAGGGGCTGGGGCCTAGATACAAGTGAAGGTAGAAGAAACTAGTCAGAGGGGAGGAAGGAAAGAGACAAATTTTAAGAAAGGAAACCAACAAAGTTAAGCAAAAGAAGCAACCAAGCCACAGAAAGTTTAAGGCAATTGTTTAATGGAGGGGAGTTGTAAGACATTACAACTGCATGCAGATGTACGGACATACTCCTGGACTCAGAAGTGCAGTAGCCATTTCCCCCCAAACCGTGCACTGCCAGAATGCTCAAAATTGTACTAAAATATAGGCACCACAAGATCCTTCTAAGCATTTCTTGCTCCTTTATGTAGGTTTGGCAGAAACGGCCACCCAGAAAAGCTTCCTTCTGCAACCCTAATTATGAAACTTGGGGGCAAGACCCAAGGTTGGGTTTCATAGGCCAAGGGAACGCGAGAGCCACAGGGTAGCTGACCTCAGCAGCTTGGAGGAAGACTGTGTTTAGAAGTTTGGAAATAGGATGCTACTGCAGCTGAGATGTTTACCCACAAGCCAAGGCCTATTTAGACCACAGGCCTCTCTCTGCTAGGACTACATTCACACTCAGCGGCAGCAAAGCTGATGTGTCATCCTCAAACTATCTACAGCAAAGTGATATTGACAGGTTTGTCATTTCTGAGCAAAGATGCTTGACTTCTCCACTGCACATCCCATATGCCCAGGTGCCAGAGCAGACAGTAAGTGCATGGGGAGGGGGGAAAGTGCAATGGACAAAGAGCCTAAGATCTGTCCGCCACATCGAAGTGCCAGGTTGGCAGGGCATCACTGGAGCTACTTAACTGCTCTGAACAGAAAGACTCTGGGATCAAGGCAGGCAGGGCTTATGTCAGTGGCTGCTGCAGTCTGGGGGGGAAAAACAGATACTGCTTTGCCTGGAGTAGCAAGAGCACTCATTTGCCGAATACTCACTTTAACGGTGGCAGAGATGAAGCCAGACCCTAGAGGGAAACAAACTGAGAAGGGGCATTTTACGGTACATAATACCATCAAGTCTCGAACACGTCGCCATGCCACTCCTTTTAGCATTTCAGCCTAGTAACTGAATAGCATCCGTGTAAGTGCGGGAGCAGATTACTGCATTCCTTACCCTGCAGGAGGATAGAGCTTAGCAACAAGCTGGAGGTAACATATCTGTTTAACAGATACATTCGCCATTGTCTGTTCGATAATTATAGTAGGGTGGGTTCTAGACACAATTTCATCCTATTAACTTCATAAAATAAAATTTGACCACCACGAAGGATTGAAATAGGCATTGCAACACAGAGCACACTAACACCCAATTTAAAAGCCTCTCCCTTTCAAAAGAATTTAGACGTACCTAAACACCTTTAAAAGTACTGTAGGCTCTTAAGTCAGCTAGGTGTTGCTATGCTGAATGTAGCAGTGCCCAACTACCTTTAAAAAGCTGGACTTGAGTTATAATACCCCTAGAATTGCTGTAAGCTATTCCACTAGAAAAACCCACCCCCACAAGCCATCCAAACTCATTCCAAGTGTCCCACATTGAAATGGATATATTAAA